GAACCGGGAGCGGCGCCCCCTGCCGGGTCCCTGCGGCCCCGCCCCAAGCCCCGCCCCCTCCCCGCACTAATGAAGGCGTGACGTCATCAACGAGCGGGGCCGTTAATGAAGGAGCCGCCGCGTTAATGAGGGGGGAGTTAATTGGGGGGGCGGGGCCAGCGGGGACACTTTGGGGACATTTGGGGTCACTTTGGAGACGCTTTGGGGACATTGTGAGGAGAATTTGGGGACACTTTTGGGGACACTTTGGGGACATTTGGGGACACTTTGGGGACGCTTTGGGGATAATTTGGGGACATTTGGGGACAGTTTGGGGACACTTTGGGGACATTTGGGGGACATTTTGGGGACACTTTGGGGACACTTCTGGGATAATTTGGAGACACTTTGGGGACATTCTGGGGACAATTTAGCGACACTTTTGGGGACACTTTGGGGAACCTAAAGACAATTTGGGGACACTTTGGGGACACTTTTGGGGACACCTTGGGGACACTCTGAGGACAATTTGGGGACACTTTGGCAACATTCTGGGGACAATTTAGAGACAGTTTTGGGGATACTTTGGGGACATTTTGAGGACACTTTGGGGACACCTGGGTGGGCACTTTGGGGACACTTTGTGGACACCTGGGGGGACACTTTGGAACATTTGGAGGATAATTTGGGGACACTTTAAGGCCACCTCGGGGCCGCCATCATGGCGGCGGCTGTGAGGGGGCTGAAAAGCGCGGGAAAACGGCACCTGCACGGGGCACGACGGGAGTTGTAGTTCGGGAGGGGCGGGGCCACAACGCGTTTCTACGAGCGCCGCGAGGCACGACGGGAGTTGCAGTCCCGGAAGTGGGTGATAACGGGGCTCTGCGGCGCGCGGGGCATGACGGGAGTTGTAGTCCCGGGAGTGGCTTTTAAAGGGCCCCGCCTCCTCATTAAGGGGACTGGGATGAACTGGGAAGGACACTGGGATGAACTGGGAGTACACTGGGGGTGAAGTGGGCTGGACTGGGAGTGCACTGAGCTGAACTGGAAGTGCACTGGTCCGAACTGGGAGTGCACTGGGCAGAACTGGGAGTTACTGGTGTGAACTGGGAGTGCAGTGGGAGTGCACTGGTGTGAACTGGTGTGCACTGTGAGGCACTGGGAGTGCAGTGGGAGGGCACTGGGCTGAACTGGTGTGAACTGGGAGTGCAGTGGGAATGCACTGGGCTGAACCGGGAGGCACTGGTGTGAACTGGCCTGAACTGGGAGTGCACTGGTGTAAACTGGGCTGAACTGGGAGACACTGGTGTGAACTGGGCTGAACTGGTGTGAACTGGGAGTGCACTGGGAGTGTACTGGGCTGAACTGGGAGTGCAGTGGGAGTGAACTGGGCTGAACTGGGAGTGCACTGGGCTGAACTGGTGTGAACTGGGAGGCACTGGGATTGCACTGGGCTGAACTGGGAGTGCACTGGGAGTGTACTGGGCTGAACTGGGAGTGCAGTGGGAGTGAACTGGTGTGAACTGGGAGTGCAGTGGGAGTGCACTGGGCTGAACTGGTCTGAACTGGTGTGAACTGGGAGTGCACGGGGCTGAACTGGGAGTGCAGTGGGAGTGCACGGGGCTGAACTGGGAGTTACTGGTTTGAACTGGGCTGAACTGGGCGCGGCCGCAGTGCCCGGACCGGCCCGGGCGGGTCCCGGCGGGGCTTTAAAGGCGCCGCCGCCTCTTCCTCCCCCTCCTCCTCCTCCTCATGGAGACGCTGCTCGTACTGGGACTGCTGGGGCTGCTCACTGGTGAGACTGGGAGCACTGGGAGGGACTGGGAGAGGGACTGAGGGGGACTGGGAGGGACTGGGAGGAACTGGGAGCACTGGGAGGGCTTTAAAGGCGCCGCCGCCTCTTCTTCCCCCTCCTCCTCCTCCTCCTGCCCATGGAGCGGCTGCTGCTCGTACTGGTGCTGCTCACTGGTCAGACTGGGAGCACTGGGAGGGAACTGGCAGAGGGACTGGGGGGCACTGGGAGCACTGCGAGAGGGGTTGGGGGGGACTGGGAGCACTGGGGGGGGGCCGGGGGCGGTGGGGGGGGGGCACTGGTGAGACTGGGAGCACTGGGAGGGGGGCACTGGTGAGACTGGGAGCACTGGGAGGGGGGCACTGGTGAGACTGGGAGCACTGAGAGGGGGGCACTGGTGAGACTGGGAGGCACTGGGAGCACTGGGAGAGGGCTGGGGGACAGTGAGAGGAGACTGGGAGCACTGGGAGAGGGACTGGGGGGGACTGGGAGGGGGGCACTGGTGAGACTGGGAGCACTGGGAGAGGGACTGGGGGGCACTGGGAGGGCACTGGGGCTGCTGCTGCTGGCCACTGGTGAGACTGGGAGCACTGGGAGGGGGGCACTGGTGAGACTGGGAGGCACTGGGAGCACTGGGAGAGGGCTGGGGGACAGTGAGAGGAGACTGGGAGCACTGGGAGAGGGACTGGGGGGGACTGGGAGGGGGGCACTGGTGAGACTGGGAGCACTGGGAGAGGGACTGGGGGGCACTGGGAGGGCACTGGGGCTGCTGCTGCTGGCCACTGGTGAGACTGGGAGCACTGGGAGGGGGGCACTGGTGAGACTGG